AGGAAGAGCATCCGAGTGCGCTGCTTTGCACATTCCCCCACGTCGTGTTTTTTTAATGGACTGCTCTATGCACATGAAAAGGTGCCTGCATGATTTTAAAATCACACCAAAACGAATGGTATTGTGGAAGCATGAGTTTTAGCAGGCGCAAAAGTATTCTCATTTGCTAGATGCATGGGTTGCCCCCTCCTAACACAAGCCCTCGGCTCCCTAGTCCCATCTCCTTACACAAATCCACTGCTCCCCAATCTTCCCTCCTAACACCCCCCCCCACTCCCAAATCCTCCCTCCTCCTAGTACAACCTCTCCCTCCCCCCCCCCAAATCTCCCCTCCTAGCACAACCTCCCCCCAAATCTCCCCTCTCCAAGCACAAACCCCCTTCCCTCACGCAAGTCCTACTCTGAGCCCAAACCCCTCGCTCCAAAATCCTCCCTCCTAACACAACTCCCCTTCAAATCCCCCCTCTCCTAGCACAACCCACTCCTCAATCCCTCTCAGCCCCTCAAATCACCCTAGCACAAACCCCCTGCTCCAAAATCCCTCCCAGAACACAATATCTGCTCCCAACCCTCATCATAACCCTCCCTCTCCAATCCCCCTCCTATTCTGAGGATCCACCCAAAATTCTGCAGAGTATGCACAGTCAATTTCATGTTGGCTGCCCAAAAGCGGCACTGTAACCGAAGTTCATCAAAGCTTCCCCAAGACTTCTCTTTCTCTCTCAGATATATATATATATACACATACACACACATACACACTGGCCACTTTGTTAGATACACCTTGCTAGTGTCAAGAAAATATCCACACCATCACACCACTACCACCAGCCTGATCGCTGATACCAAAAATTATATTCTGCATACCTTGGTTATTTGAATCACTGTTGCCTTTCTATCATCTCGAACCAGTCTGCCCATTCTCCTCTGACTCTCATATCAGCAAGGCATTTTTGTCTACACAACTGCCGCTCACTGGATATTTTCTCTTTTTTGAACCATTCATGGAGATGGTTGTGCGGGAAAATCCCAGTAGATCACCAGTTTTTTAAATACACAGACCAGCCTGTCTGGCACCAACAACCATGTCACATTCAAAGTCACTTAAATCCCCTTTCTTCCCCATTCTGATGCTCGGTTTTAACTTCAGCAAGTCATCTTCACCATGTCTAGATGCCTAAATGAATGGAGTTGCTGCCATGTGATTGGCCTATTAGCAATTTGTGCTACCAAGCAATTGAACAGGTGTACCTAATAAAGTGGCCGGTGAGTGTGTATGTGCACACAAACACACACACAGGACCTTCCTTACTATTCTGGAATCTGTATAGGTAATCAGAAGGGCTAGTATGTAGCCAAGTCAGAGAAGGAAATACAGAAAAAAAAAAAGTAAGCAGAGGAAAAAAGACAGCATTTATCACCTAAGGATACTGGCAATAAACAAGGATAACCATCAGTGGGAAGGGTTATTTGGGGCTCTTTACAGCTCTGTTTGCCAGTGTCCAATCACCTGAGGGTAGCAACATACAACCCAGTCATCTAGTAATATGTCTGTGTCATGTAATGTATGATCAAGAAATATATTTTTTTGTTTTAGGGTTAAATACTATTTTAAAATATATTTACAATAATTAAGTGTGAGAATGACATCTGGGCAATCAAGTGCAAGCGGAGATGCTTATATCTGCAACTATTTCTCTTGTGCGTTGCATTTTGTCCACATGCTACAAAAACAGGTTGCCAGCCACTTCTCCACAACAGCAGAGTGAATCTTCAGAGTAAACGCTCCTCATATGCTATTTTTAAACACTCCTCTCCCTATAGTGACTACAGCACACATGCCAGCAGTCATTTCTACCTCAGAAGTGATGTAGAAAAAATTTCAAGAGGATATGAAGATTCTGTTGGTGGCTACACCTGCACATTACTAGAAATAAAGACTTTTTATTGTCAACTGACAGGATCTAATTTTAGTGAAAAGCACAGATGTTGTTTAGACCATTTACTTATAGCATTAAACATTAAATATCTGCAAGAACAGCACATGTATAACTATCCACATAAAGAATGTAACATCTGTTCCAAAGTAAGAGTGTGTGACCTACATCTACCAAAATGTGACCACTTAACCTTGTGCAGCAAAAATCTTCTGGTCCTTATTCAACCTCAGACCAGAGTTTCAAGATCTATAAGCGTTTACAGTTCATGCTTGCAAATATCCAACAAAATTCAATGCATATAATGTTTACTAACCATTACTTTGGAATACAAATGCAAAAAAAATCAAATCTATTACCACAAAGCAAAAGGATTTGTTCTGTTTCCAAACAGTCTAAAGCAGTGGTCACTAAATGGCGGACCACGGTCTGCGAACGGTTCCTGTAGCGCAGCCGCCCAGGCCGCCAGCCCGCAATGACAGATCCTCTGCTGAGCAGGGCGGTCATCACAGCGACATGACATCACGTGTTCGCCCTGCCCCTTTCAGCTCACTGTCTCTCCGGCTCCTGCTCCCTGCCTGTACACAAGCGTCCAGCAAGGATCCTGGTAAATCTCCCGTCTGCCCTCAAGGTAGGGTGTAGTCTTACAGGGGCACGCTGACAGGGACATTGAATGTTAAGGGTAATACTGATGGGCACAAAATAGAATGTGCCCATCAGAGCGCTCCTTAACATAAAATGTATCCATCAGAGTGTCCCTTAATATAAATGTGCTCCTCAGTGCCCCTTAATATAAATATGCCCATCAGAGTGCCTCTCAACAAAAAATGTGCCCATCAACGTGCCCCTTATTTTATGTTGAGGGGCACTCTGACGAGCACATTTTATGTTGAGGGGCACTCTGACGAGCACATTTTATGACGAGCACATTTTATGTTGCACATTTCATGTTGAGGGGCACTCTGACGAGCACATTTTATGTTGCACAGGGGCACTCTGACGAGCACATTTTATGTTAAGGGGCACTCTGACAGGCCCATTTTATGTTAAGGAGCACTCTGACGGGCCCATTTTTTAGGGGGCACTCTGACAGGAATACCTGATGTAAGGTGACAATGTGATGGGGATACCTGAAGTAAAGTTGCACTCCGATGGTGACACCTAATGTAAGGGGGCACACTGATGGGCACACCCTATTTGGACCTTGGTCAGAAGAAAATTTTAGTGACTGGACCTCCTTGAATTTTAATTCAATACCCCTGGTCTGAAGCATCTAAGCCTTGTTACAGGAAAACAGCTCATGAATAACAGCTACAGGCAATGCTATCATTACTAATGTGCACTTACACGTGTGTTTCAATTCACCCCAGTAATATTCACTTTATGCTCTTCCATTCAGTGTACTACCCATTTTTAGTGAACTCCTGTACATGTAACTGAAAAATAAACTGAAAACAAAGAGCAGACCAATCTGCACAAAGTGAAGTGCTCTTCAGGAAGCCATAGAAATACTGACTAGAGCTACATACTGGTTTGCATAACAATGAAAATGTGACAAGCCATCAATATTGAGAGAGGAGGAGAGAGAGGCAACCAAACAAACTGTAGCTCTGTCATGTCAGTGACATATCTGTCTAGTCTAACAATAAACAGAACGCCTGGTATATGATTTGAAAATCTTAAAGCAGAACCTGCATAAAAATGCAAAATCTGCTTATTCTTTTGACTCCAACACCACTATATAAAATGCAGAAATGAACATTACAAAGAAACCATACTATATAGAACATTGAAAAATATTCTTCAACTACTACCCTAGTCTCAGGTTTTCCACAGAGTTTCTGGGTAAGCCGAGGATCTTAAATCATTACAGCAGGTGCTCTAACACAGTGTAGTGCAGTCCAGAGGTTTGGGATCCTTACACCAGTCAGGGTGTAAGCAAAGTATTTTTCAGTTAAGGAAAAAAAAAATTTGAGGCGTTCAACTGCAGTTTCCATTTTCATTAATGTTTTTTTAAAGTAGCCTCTCCGGTAACAGAATTGTTCTTCCATGGTCCAGTGGGCCAGTCCAATTCCATTTTTTAAAGGGCTATGGAGTCATTCAACCCACTTCCTCTAAGCAGAGGGTGTCAAGGGCCCACCCACTGTAAGCGAGTCATCAGGTTGCCTTAGACTCACAGGTAAATTCTGCAGAGAATGTTGCCAACATTTGATGTGATGACATTCCCTGCAGCATTAAGGACCCAACCACCCAGTCAGGAGAATAAGAGGATGTTAAAAGACCATAAGGAAGATTACAGCAATGAATGATTATTTTACAAAAATAATAAAAAAGGAGAGGGGTGAAAAGGATGCTCCAAGGTGGGTGATATGGAGGATGTTAAATTTTTGGTGAAATCTAGCTACAACATCTCCACTACTGTTTTTTGTCAATTCCTGTAAACTAGCAGACTTATGCAGTGACCAGTGCAAGGAGAAGAATAGAAAATACCCTCTAGGCCTCGTTCACTCAGGCGAGCTACAGTGTACACTTCTGCAAAGGCAGTGTTTACGTACACGGGGATGCATAGGTGTTCTGTGCCTCCCCTGTGCAGGTAGTTCCTTTCATGTCAATTAGGACACAGCAGCTGCTCATAATCTGACAATTGTGTGGGTGCATGACCCACATTGACATGTACTGGGACTTCTTGCAGAGGGAGGCAAGGAACACCTGTGCATCCCCCATGCAGGCAAATATGGCCTTTACTGGGGTGTTCACTGTAGTACGACTGCATGAGCAAGGCTTTGCTAAAACCAATCAGTACAAGGTTGTTCTTGATGCATTGCTATGTATACTGCATTTTGTTCTGTGCATTGCTCATTGAATGAGCCTTTATAGTCACTTTTAGCATGTTATTATATTCGAAATCATAAGGCTTGTAAACAGACCTGCAGCAATGGTGTGCTACTTTCAAAGCAGATCACGTGAATACTTAGTGCTCAAAGTCAGCTAAATACAGTTACCTAGAAAGAACAAAGGGACAGATTACATGACAGGACATCAGTATCATTCTGGGTCATCTACCTGTGTCAGAATCTCTCTCTTCTTCTCTAGGTGGGCTGATTGTGAAGGGTAGTTTTCTTTTCATTGAAGATTTTTCTTTCATTTCTTTTCCAACTTCATTCCTGTCCAACTTAGGCGTTCGGGTGAAGGATGTGATTTTCTCCTTATTCTAAAACAACAAAGGCAAACATGATTCTGGTAAAAAGCTGACATGTATGGTCAAGTGTAGAAAATAAAATGTCATATAGGATCATACTTAAACTTTTTAGGCCAGTAATGCACCTTCTGAATTACAGTGCCACCTTTCTGGATGAAAGTGCACAGGGCAACTTTGGACTGCAGCATTGTTAATTTGGGGGAAGGGGAGTATTAGATGTACTACCAGATTTAGATTCACTAACAAATTGAGGCCAAACTCCAGTTCATACTTTAACAGCAGTTACAGAAAGACTTTTTTCCCTTTTTTGGTAAAGGTTTTACATAAATAAAAGCTGATCATTGTAAGCACCCTGTCAGTAGTAAATGGTTTGTCTCATCCCTCTAACTGCTACATCTGCAAAAGAGCTGGTTTGTTTGGAATATAACAGACTTACTGACTGGCTCACCAGGTGAAAAAAAAAAAAAAAAAGCGCAAATGCAACCATCACGACTGTGAATTGGTAAGTTGAGAGTTTATTTTTATTTATTACAGGTACTTATATAGTGCCGTCAATTCACACAGAGCTTTACATACACTATATCCCAGTCTTAGTCCATAGGGTTCAATATTGAGTTGGCCCACCCTTTGCAGCTATAACAGCTTCAACTCTTCTGGGAAGGCTGTCCATAAGGTTTAGGAGGGTGTCTATGGGAATGTTTGACCATTCTTCCAGAAGCGCATTTGTGAAGTCAGACACTGATGTCGGAAGAGAAGGCCTGGCTCGCAGTCTCCACTCTAATTCATCCCAAAGGTGTTCTATTAGGTTGAGGTCAGTTCCTCCTCCCCAAACTCTCTCACCCATGTCTTTACGGACCTTGCTTTGTGCATTGTCACACACACAGTCATGTTGGAACAGCAAGGGGCCATCCCTAAACTGTTCCCACAAAGTTGGGAGAATGAAATTGTCCAAAATATCTTGTTATGTTGACGCCATAAGAGTTCCCTTCACTGGAACTAAGAGGCCAAGCCCAACCCCTGAAAAACTACCCCAAGACCATAACCCCCCCCCCAAACTTTACACTTGGAACTATGCAGTCAGGCAAATACCGTTCTCCTAGCAACTGCCAAACCCAGAGAAGTCCATTGGATTGCTAGACAGAGAAGCATGATTAGTCACTCCAGAGAACATGTCTAAACTGATCTAGAGTCCAGTGGCAGCGTGCTTTACACCACTGCATCCAACGCTTTGTATTGCACTTGGTGATGTAAGGCTAGGATGCAGCTGCTCAGCCATGGAGACCCATTCCATGAATCTCTCTACACACACAAAGTTTGGAGGTCTTTAGTTATGGACTGAGGACAGTTGGCGACTTCTGCGCACTGTGCACTTTAGCATGCGCTGACTCGCTCTGTCATTTTACATGGCCTACCACTTCATGGCTGAGTTGCTGTTCCCAGTTTCTTCCACTTGGTTATAATAGCACGACTGTGGAATATTTAGTAGAAAGGAAATTTCACAGATGTACTTATTGCACAGGTGGCAACCTGCTTGAATTTACTGAGCTCCTGAGAGTGACCCATTCTTTCACAAATGTTTGTAGAAGCAGTCTGCATGCCTAGGTGCTTGATTTTATACACCTGTGGCCATGGAGGTTATCGGAACACCTGAATCCAATGATTTGGAGGGGTATCCTAATACTTTTGGCAATATAGTGTATATTTCACATTCCCTAACCCTCAAGGAGCTTACAATCTAAAGTCCCTAACTCACATTCATACATTCTAAGGCCAATTTAGACAGGAGCCAATTAACCTACCCGCATGTCTTTGGCGTGTGGGAGGAAAACAGTACCCTGAGGAAACCCACGCTGGCACAGGGAAAACGTGCAAATTCCAGGCAGTGCTCTTGTTGAGATTCAAACAGATGACCCTAGTGTAGCAATCATGCCCACAGAGGACACAGAGATGGACGCGGTTCAACCATTTTGGCTCCAATATCCATCTTGGCAAAGGATCCTCCATCTTGTACAAACATATCCCCCTCATTCTTCCTCTCTGTTCAACCACAGTGACATATGGCCTATGTGTTGGCAGTGTCACAGGAGGCCAGAGCACCGCAGGGAGCCCCAAGCTATAAAACCCTCAAGGGAGCTGGGGCCTCGCTGTCCAAAGAACCTGTGCAATCTAGCACATCGTAAAAAGATAACCCAAGCCTTCCCCTGAGTTCAAACACATTCCAGAGGAGTAGAGACTAGATAACACTTTTAAAATCCATTTTTCCCCCCTATGTCTCATATCTTGGAATATGAGAGACTTATATAAAAACCAGGTATATCTTCAGATTGGCCACGAGAAGACAAACAGTTGTATAGGTCACACTCCCTGACTGGAATACCTAGGAAAGCAGAAAATTACATCTCTTGAACCCTTCAAATATGTATTTCATATGTAACCGTTCTCTCAGAGGCGTCTGCATATTAATCTACCCGCGGGTGGCATGTCACTTGTGCATAGGGAAAGTTATGAGCAAAATATGAACTATGAGAGATTTTGGCTCTGGTTTAGGTATCCGCCTAGACGATCCCTCATTAAATGAGGCATTGGTCCATGACTTCAGAGACACCCCCTGCTGGGCGAATACAAAATGGGCTGTCAGGCCTAAGAGTTGAAGAATTCTCCCTTTTAACATCAGAACCAACCTAGGAGACGTGCCCTTTTGCTTTGAAACCCAAGGCCGATTGGCAAGTACTTTAACCTCCTTTCTGTTACCTCTTTGCTGTGCTGTTGTTCTCTGTATATTGTATATATATATTGGTTACATCTTTTTTCTGTAAATATTTTTATTGCACCCTTTTGACCTTTTAGTAATAAATCTTTCCTTCTGAAAGCGTTGAACTGTTTCTATAGCTCTTTATTGCAACTTACGAATTCCTGCCTCTAAAAAAGCGCTACTGTGTTTGTTTAACCCTCTGTATGACCTGCCTGCGATGACAGTGCTATACAGACGATTATCTCAACCATCAGAGTTATTGCTGAGCTTGCTGAGTTTCCGCTTTCTCTGTACAAAAAGGAGGTGGTGGCAGTGTGAAGGGTTAAATTGCGTAATTAACCTGACCCACTAACAAGCGCATTCAGGCTGCCGGTACATCGATTGGTGGTCCACGAGCTGGAAAATCATTGTGCAGGGTGCAGCTGGGTGTGGCATTGTTACGCACGTGACATCGCGGTTTCAGATTGGCTAGTCCTTCGGTCACAAGTTTGGTGAGAAGGTCAGGGGTCTGACGCCGCAATCGTCACACCTAGTTCTGCTTAGGAGGAAGTGATAACCACTTAGCCACTGTGGAATATAATAGAATATAATAAAATGTTTGCTTTTGGGTATAATACTTCAATGGATATGAGTGACTGCAGTGACAAGAAAATTCGAAGGAACCAGTCGTATATTTTTTCCAGCAGTAAATGTGTTTTTTTCGGGAAATTACATTCATTCCAAACAAAACTGTGAAGTACTTTCAAATGACATTTGAATGTACTGGAAGAACTTTCATGCAAATCAAAATCTACTAGTGTATGGCCAGCTTTAAGAAGAACCCCTTTAATCAGCTACTGTGACCTTTCCTGACTTGTCTAGAAAAGATGCACATGTTCCAACTCTTCTTTTGGTACTCACTTAAATTCAACCCACAGTACATTAGGGAGCATGATTACCAGTAAGGGCTAATGCCCACCTAACGTGGCTCTGGAAATTTGAATCATTACATAATAAATGTTTAGTCTGAGTTTTAAAGATAACTAGTATAATGCAAACAGCCAAGATAAAGCTGTAAAGATAAACAAAGTGTTACAGTGGCAGTAAACTCCATTATTACTATAATTTGTAACTTTTACCTGCAAGTAAGCTTATATTAAATCTTACCTGTAGGTAGAATTAATATCGCCTAAACATGCACCATTTAGGAAATACAGTCAGGTTCATAAATATTGGGACATCGACACAAACACACACACACACGCAAACTGTTGTAATTCCTACACCGTTCACCTGATTTGGATGTAAATACCCTCAAATTAAAGCTGACAGTCTGCAGTTAAAGCACATCTTGTTTGTTTCATTTCAAATCCATTGTGGTGGTGTATAGAGCCAAAAATGTTAGAATTGTGTCAATGTCCAAATATTTATGGACCTGACTGTATTCACTCTTTATACCCATGCTGTTTCTTCAGAGTACTGTGCCATGGCCGGGACTCCCGAATGCATGCGTAGGAGTGACGTCACTGCGGCTCGGCCAGTCAGATGGCCTGAGCTCACAAACCCGGAAGGAAGACCGGTGAAGATTGAAGCATCTGCAGCAGTGCAAAGCGCGCTGCTGGAGGGCTTCGTTTTAAGGCAAGTCATTCATAATGTGTGTATGTGATGCATATTAGCACATTATAACATTTCCTTGCAGGGGATTTTTTATTTTTGTTTTTTACCTGCAGTTTACTACTGCTTTAAGACAGTTATTTTACTGAATTTTATAAAGGCATTCTCCTCTTTTATAATTTGGTAAGAACTATTGGTGATCATTGCACAGTCCCCTGTCAGATTAAAATTTTATTCTTCAGCAGCTGTCATTCTTCAATGTACGATGGAATATATTTACTTTAAAAAATAAAATTTTACCCCTGGAAATCCTGAAACTTGAATTGTTCAGTAATACAAATATTGACTTCTGGTAAGAAAATCAATCTCTGGAATGCCCTCTTCTAGCTTTCTTTCACAATTTATTGTTGTTAATTGAGACAGGCCATTACACTGAGGGGCAAATAACAGGAGCAAGAGAGGGCATGTCAGGACACAAAGTGGTTGTAAAGGTAAAAGGATTTTTTTTTATATTTTTTATATATCTTACTGCATTCTAGGCATTAAGGTACTGTATAAAAAAAAAAAAAAAATTTTACATGCAGCTACCCCCCTCAAATACTCACCTGAGCCCGATCTCCGTCCAGCATTGTATACATCTTCAGCAGCTCCTCTCCCCTCTTCCAGT